AAAAAAAAAAATAAATAATAATAATAATAATAATAATAATAAAGAAAAATTGCTTGGAAATATAATAATTAAAAAATAATAATAAATATAATAATACATTGGACTATTATTCTAAAAGTAAATACATTTAATGAATTCAGATTTTAAAATTAAAGTAGAATAAAAATATTGTAAATAATAATTTAAAAAAATAAAAAAAATAAATATATTTTTAATAATATATCATTTTAAAACATTTGTACAAATTTCTTGTACAAAATTGAAGTCAGCACAAGGTATAACACTATTAATTATAAACTTATGATAAAATTATTAGAACTAAAACTATTTTCTAATATTTATACAAAATTTTTTTTGATATATTTTAGAAATCTGCTTTATGCAGAGAGGAGATCAGAAAGTGAAAATGGTAGAGGAACGCACATACAAGTGTTAGATACATAGCAGAGAGAAAATAAGTACATAGATACAGTATAGACAAGCATGGTATGAGAATTTTATCCAAATGTACACTTGTTTCAAAACTAATATATGTTTCAATAATATTGTGTACATTTATAGGAATTAGATGAATGAAATTACATATAAGTATTATACATAAAAACATTAGTATTAATGATTATACATGAATTGAATAAAGCATAAGAGATTTCATATAAGTAATATATGTTATATATACAAAATTGTTTAAATAATTTTATATAACTTTATTTATTATAAATACTACATTATAATTATATATTATGTATTACATATTTCTATGTTATATATTATTATTATTGCATATGTTGACTATTTTTTATATTTATTAATGATTTAGTCAAAGATTATTTAAATTAAATATAGTATATATAATAATCAATATAAATTAATAACAATCTATAACTTTTTAAAAGTTTTTCAGTTTTTCATTTCTTATATATAAAGAAAATATTAAAAGCTTTGAATCAAGTGTATAATTATAATGCATGAAACTTGAAACTAGGCATAACAATGGTAACAATGGTACAGATATTTATATATATTTATATACATATAAATACTTGTGATGTGTTTATATACAGTTAATATATCTAATTTCTTTATAATAAAAATTGTAAAAAAACTGTATTAGTATGTATACTATATATAGTATATATACTATTATATATATACTAATATATATTTTTTTGTTTTTAAAATTAGAAAATGAATTGTTTAACAATTTTTTTATAATTTATCTCTTAAATTATATTATTATATATAAATAAATTGTGTATGATAAAAATATTTTTATTTTTTTTATCTCTCCTCTTCTTAATATATATATATATGTACGTATATACGCACATATAGACATAAAAGGCATGTTTAACAATAATTCATTAATTATGTACATCATAATGAAAAAAATTGAAAGTTCATTAATAAATTTTTTTTTAATAAATAAATATAGCTAATAAATAATAATGTTTGTTATCAAAAATAGATACTTATATAAATCTTCTTGCTCACAAATTTAAGAAAAACATAGACATAATAGTTTATTAACAAATATGTATAAATGAACACACATACATAAATGAACATATATAAAATGAATATATGCAAATGAATAAATAAGTTAAATACTTTTTAAGTTTTCAAATATAAATTATTTATTTGAAATGAAATTAAATAAAATAAAATTGTTTAATATTATAAAGTTATAAAAAGAACTTACTGGAAAGAAAGCAGGAGGCATTGGACCACCAGGCATTCCATCATTGGGAGGCATTTGTCCTATAGGAGAAGGTGCTGGACCAGCATTCTGTAATTATTTGATAATTATTTATCTACCTAGTCATTAATTCATAATTAAGAATATCAATTTAATATTATCTCTATGCAAATTCTAATAATATCTATTATTTATAAAATAATTTATAAAATAATAGATAATGCTATTAAATTTAAAATTAATTGAAAATATATGAAATTAAATCATGTTAAAATACTAATAAATAAACATTAAAATTAAATAACATAATAAATATGAATATTAATATAACTCACATGAGCAATGCCATTAACACCATAACCACTGTTTACAAAACCCTGATGGTAAAAAAAAAAATTATTGTAAATTTTTAAATATTTATAATAAATATATAATTTCATTAAATTATGAAACAATACTAACATAATCATGAAATGCTTTGGCTTCACTGCTATGTTCGCAGGAATCCCGTCGCTCTGGTGCTGCTGAATACAAATCCCAGAATACACTAAAATATATTAAATTGATTATTCATTTATTAATTCAAATTATAACTTTCTGAAGGAAATTAATATTTTTATATAGAAGATTATTTTATTTTTTTCAATAAAATATAAAATATAATGCTTACCACCACCAAGAATGTAAAAATCCAGGTGGTTCACCAAGAGTAATATTTTTTTCCCATCGTATCTATGTAATAAAATAAAATATAAGTATAATAATATAACAATATATAATAATTTTTGTCAGGTTTCATTGAATTTTAAAAATAATTTTGAATGATTACCTCTGATAAAAATGTCTGTGCTGCTTTTTGTGCTCCAACATGCAATAAATACTCATATACGTATAAGGCTAACCTGAAATATTATAAATAATTCTCAAATAAATATAAAATTATATTTATAATAAATATAAATTTAAATTTTATTTTGTATTTTAAAAAATGATATAAAATAATAAATATTTTATTTTTTTTAAATATTTGAATTGAATTATAAAATTTATAAAAATACAATAAATTTACAAATATTTAAAAATTTTTAAATAAAATATTTACAATAATATTTATACATATTTACAATATATTACAATAATGTTATAATATTTTAATGAAATATATATATATGCAAATGTATATATTTAAAAGAATATATAAATGTATATATTTAAAAGAATATATAAATGTATATATTTAAAAGTTTTAATATTTATTATTATATTTAATAAATAAAATATAATAAATTTTTTAAGTATAATAAATTTAATTTTGTATTCAATGAATACAATACTTCGATATCAAAAAAAAAGAGAAAAGTTAAATTATTAATATAAAAAAAAATCTTATTTTCTATTATTATTATATAAACAAAACAATTCAATTTTGCAAAATGTTATCATACTAATTTTGCATAAATTATATATTTCTTGGTTGCAAACGATAAAAACATGGCGTCCAATGCTTTGCCAGACAAGTAACTCTACTGAGTCATAGCATATAGTTCAATCAAATTTACGAGAAAGTAGAAGATAAACAAAACTAAATAGGTAAACAATACGATTTACGAAATTTTATATGAAGTAATTTTATAAAATCAAAGTTTTACAATGATTCTTTAAAATTAAAATTAAATCAATTATAGTTTTAGCTTCTTTATAAATTATAAGAAATTTTGGAAATATGTATTAAATATTTCTATTTTAAGTTATTATTATATTAGGTATAATTTTTTTTATTTTCATAATAGAATTCATGAATATAAAGTTCATGAATATTATAATCGTTAAATTAAAATTATTTGACAAATTCGATTCTCTTTCCTACTAACTAATACCTATACGCACGCTTGGCATAAAGAAAAAAAATGGAGTCACTGGTCGATCAATCGGCAAATTTTTTCTTTAACAAGTTTTATCTTTTTCAACATAAAAATATATATATTATTATACAAAATAATACGTACTTTTCTCTTGCTTGAGAATCAGAAGGTACCGTGGACCCCTTCCCCTTCGCGTACATCCTCGAAGACTGTCAATTTTTCCAGTGTAAACAGAACCACAGTTTCGTTCCACAGATAGTAATGTCCGACACCGTCGTTAGTTCCGCTCGACGGGGAAAAGGAAGAACTTGAGAGAATATTACAATTTAATGCCGGCAGAGGGCGAGGTATCGCTGATATGTGTGAGTGTACTCTCTAAGTAGAGCGGTGATTGTTAACATCGAGGCCGTAGAAAGAAGCGCACTTGTATAAAAGAAGTAAAGTTAAAGAATGGAACCCAGTATTATCTCATTATTATTTATCCGATTTTTAAATATTTAAAATATATATAAAATAACATGCGGTGTACTTAAAGAAAATTGAATGTAGCTGTAAAGATTTTCAACTTTTTAAAGAAATATCAGGAAAATATGCACACTTATTTTAAACAAACAAAAAAAAAAAAAAAAAGAAAATAATCAAAATGAAGAATTACAATAATGTCCACTTAATTATCGCTTGACTGTTGATTTTTCCTACTAATTTTTAAATTGCTTTATCAAGCCAGTGTTCGTATTATCTTTGATTCGTGATCAGCGTTATCTTATAATAAGATTCTTAATCAAAATAAGAAAAATAAAATTTTTATATCGTTTACTTTATAGTTTGTTAAGTTAATTAATTAAATTTTTAAAATATTTTTCAATAAATTTTATATCGTATTTTCATACTTATATTTATATTTTATAATAAATTTAAATTATATGAGTAAATATAAATATATAATACATAAATATATAATACAGTATAATAATTACTAAAATTTTGCTTTCTAAAGAATCAAAAAAATTTGAAAGAGATAATAATCGACAATTCTTAGAACACCTACCATCCCAAATAACTGTCCGTAATACAGATCCAAGCGTACAACAGTTAAGCGGACATTACTATATTTTCTATCAGTCACACGTCACGAACACGTCGTACCAGTGCTGCGGCCAGACAGACAGATACACTCGCATTTCACCTCGTCAAGTTCACTTTAACGACACGTCGATTCCACAACTTTTGTACGTCTACGACTTAACACACGTTCTGTGTATAGACAATTGTTTCTATTTTACTTTTTTTTTTTTGTTCTATCACACCTACCTATTCGGTAGTGAACGAGAACGAAGCACAGTGTCACTTTTACACATATGTATTAGATACAAGTGATCTTATTTTTATATAAACACGCACAAGTTTGGAGTGTTTCATACACGATATGCGCGCAGTTCTCATACACAAATACACAATACCGAAAGCACTGCCATCTCCTTCGTTCTTATTCTAACTATTCGTCTTTGTCTTGTCTGTGGGTCATAAAAGCTGCGCACGCATCTTTGCTTTTCACATCAGGACCGTACATAAATTAGGTCCTATTAATCTATTTTATTACTTTAGATTTTATATTTTCTCATTTTCTTTTAGTCAAATTCAATAAGTTGTAGTTTTACTAGTTTTATTATTATTTTAATTAATTTCTTTTTTTATAGTTTATATTAATTTGATATATTTAAAACTAAAATTTTCCATGCAATATTTTTTAATAGTGTTAAAAAACAAATATATTTATTTTAAAATTAAAAGATTTTCTTTTTTTGGGTCATTAATATAAAAGAACTATAAAATATTTTTATAAAAAAAATATATATTGTTTGTCAAAAATATTTTGCATAAATTAGTAATATAAAAATAGGTATGATATTGCACCTATTATTTTTACATTCCTGGTTGCAACTCTATGTGCTATTGGACGCCGATCGTTGCATGGAAGTATTATATATATATATATATAGTGCAAGCGACAGTATACACGCTATCGGCGCATATAACTATAGCGGGAATAACCGAACATAACCGAATATTGTCGAACATAGCCGATGCAAAATAGCCGACAATTGACTGAGCGTCGAGGGGTCGGACAGAAAAGAGACAAGCCATTCCTTTGGGTGTACAGCTTCCCCTTTCTCAATTTTATCATGAAATTAACATATTATTGACTTTTATAAAAAAAAAATTTTATAAGTTTATTCATTTCATATATTTTTATATCATCAAAATGTTTTTTTTTAAGAAAAAATGAAAGTAATAATAATGAAATATTTTTATTCGTTTTATGTACTGAATTAGTTTGAGATTTTTTTTTTAATAATTACAATATATATATATATATTTTGTATATAAAATAATTTATGTGTAATATATTATATACATATGTATGTAATGCATAAGAATGTATCTATAATGATGCATTGGTATTAAAATATTTTAATCAAATTTTTTATTTTTTTATTATATAAATTATATGTTGATGGATCGTTCATTTCTCATAAGGGATATGAATGTTTAGGAGTGATCTGAGAATAATGGATGGTCCAGGTACGATCACATGGGAGGAATTTCTCGAAGATGCTGAAAAATTCGTACAAATGTCGAATTATATCTCTGATGGATGGGATCTTCGAGGTAATAAGGTGGCTGTTATTTTTTAATTTTTGAAATCTCCAAAAAATATAGGATATAAAGAATTGTTTAAAATTATGAATATTTATATATAATTTGTAGAATATACCAGGTGAAGTATACGTTGTTCGGCGACAGAAACAATATATTTACAATAATTCAAATAATTATACGGTATTGGAAAATAACGATCTCAATTTCATGTTGAAAAAAGAAGATCCATTCGAAGCCACTTGTCCCATCGAGAAACCATTAATTACGGAACATCATATACTATGGTCGATGAGTTATAGCGTTCCAGTGCTTTATTTTAATGGATGGAAATCAGGTGAATGCATCCTATTCATTTGAATCATATAAAAATCTTAAAAAGATTTTAGAAAGAGAAAAAGATTATCTTTACGATTTATTTTTAATATTTCGTGAATGTCGTTAATTTTAAAATCTATTAAACAAAATGAAATGTCTATTACAATCGTCTTCTGATCACCACTAGACCTTAATCTCATATGTACAGCCTGTTGAAAATGACAGGCGACATAATGCTGATTGTTCCTTCGATTGTAGCGTATCTCGAACTAGGCTAAGAAGTCGGCAAAGAGATCAGAGTAACTGAAGGAGAGAAATACGGGAAACAAAGGAAATCTATGTTTTGCGGCAATATATGCATTTTTCAGTATTTTGTATTTTCAAATGAATTTATTTGCTAAACTTATTTATGATTTAATCGATAACTTTCAAATATTATTTTTATTTTTTTTATAAATAATTTTTCATGATTTTTTTTTACACAAATCTATAATTTATTATGTTTATATATAATTAATTTCTACAGATTTTCCGGGTATTAATTCAATATCAATGGAAGAAGCACAATCCTTTGTTTGTGATAGAGAATTAAAGTACAAGGATTTATCTCAAGCAATGCATCCTATATTAGGTACACCTTTTTTATATTTGCATCCTTGTATGTCTCATGAACTTCTACAAATAACGAGCAAAAGGTAAAATATGTAAATAAATAAAAATATTTATTTTGTAAATTAATATGAAATCGAAATCAATATATATAATATATATAATATATTATATATATTACAATATATATAATATATAAAATAAATTATTTTTTTTATTTTAGTAAAAATAAATTAGTCAGTTGGCTCAGTACTGTTGCTCCTGCTGCTCTTAATCTTAAACTACGTCCCGAATATTATCAATTAACTATCTAATATATAAATTTTAAAATATCATAATTAAATTGTAATATATTGTAACTTCAAAAAAAAAAAACTGTCTATTGAATTGAATAAAACTATATAATAAAAATATACTTTTTTTAATATGAAATAATCTTATTCAATTACTCTTATATTTTATTAATTAATTAATTTTATTCTTAACTATTATAATTATTCATATAATTCAAAATTGAATAGAATTGCTTATGGTTTATCGCTTTTGCGCAGACAACATGCGTCAACTGGTGGAGCTTTATTCAAGTGCGAAAATTTGATTGGTTCAGCCAGCAACTGAAAGTTATCTGAATACCAATCAAATTACATGGCTCATGGAACTCGCCTTTTCTCCCCTTCCTTTTAACTTCCCCACCACCCGCGCGCTTTTCGAACATTTGGCTCAAATGACATGCTTCTAGTTCACAGTCTCGCGACTGTTATCGTACGGTATACACGAAAACGTGATATAAGAAGTGAATTGTAGTGTTTGCCTTCCTTTTTTTTATAAATTGAGCTGAAACTATTAAAAATTTATATTTATATAGTTTTATTGGTACTTGTTTGCGCGTTTTTCCACGAGAGAAATCGGTGCTTATTTAATGTGCATGCGAAGTGTTTCAAGAATAAAAATCAAAACAATTAAATCATCGATAATCTTCGTTTTCAGGTAAAAAATTTAAAATAAAGTAAATTAAAATATTTATTACTTGTTTAAAATTTAAAAATTATAATTTCTAAAAACAAATGCATATATAGTGAAATATAGAAATAAATTCAGTTCGTTTATAAATTTAAAAGTATGTATATTATACTTTTAACTATTGATAACTTAAATACAAAGATATTGTTAAATCAACAAATATTGAAATCTGCTTTTTATTTTGCTATAATTTTTTACTATTCATATCAATTAAATATAAAATGTTAATTATAAATTACAATATTATTTATATATTTTTTATATTTTATACGATATATAAAAACATAATATACAAAAACACGGGACGTATTTTACTTATATACGTTTTACATTGCTTTGATATACTCTATATAAAAACTATATATAATTTATATTATTATACACATATATAAAGTGACACAGATATAATTCCAAAGTTAAGTTATTTAAATTGAATACAAATATTCAATTATGTTCATTAATTAAAAATTTAATTTAATATTTTAATTTTTATCCATTTTAAATAATACATAATTTATAAATAATTAATATGATAACTGTTTTTAAGTAAGTTAAAATTCACATATCAATTTTGTCAATTAATAATTAATTTAATTTTGACAAAACATCAAAAAAAAGAACTTCATAATCAAATTATAAAAATTAAGTATAATTAGTGATAAAATATATAAATTTAATATTATCAATCTACCTTATCTGTAAATATTATGCAATAGCTAATGTATACAAAAAGAATATAAATATGAAATGAATAGATAATGCATGAATGTTATCTCGATAAATTTATAATAATACTTTATATTTATATTAATAATTATAAATTGATTGATATATATTGCACTTCACTGTATGAACAAGTAAGAATCAAAACTTTAATTTTAATATAATGTTTCTCACCAAATAATTGCTTATTGATAAAACCACGAAAATAAAAATCGAAGAGCAATATTTATCATTTGTTTATATTTATCATTTTATCTATATATTCAAGTTGATATATTCTCATATCATAGATTAATTTTATGTAATATAGTGTATCGTTGTATAAATCTTTTTCAATTTTGTCGCAAACATAAAGTATGAGGCATTAGAAATTATAATATAATCTCGATAATGTATTTCTATAATATATCTCTGCTGTATTTTTTTTATAGAGCTTTTTTTTAGTGATATTTTTTATTTATCAAAGAAGTTAATTGAAAATTTTTCTTTTCAATATATTTTTAAAATTTATTAAAAAAAAATTTTTTTTTATAAAATATAATTTATAATACAGATAATATTTCGAAACAAGGCGGAAGTGCCGATATTCGATTTGAAAAAAAAAGAAATAATGAAATCATTACTGAAAGATTTGAATCAAAGATAAATAATTAAAAATAGATATAATATTGAGTTCGTGAAAAAAGATATATTTTTTTCAAGCTCGTTATATTTTCATATTAAATTTCTCAATTATTATTTGCAACTTATTTTTGACTTTCGAGCAGCGATTTGCATCATTTATCATTACGTAATATTGGATTTATTTAATGTTTTGCATTATGTTTTTGCAATTATGTTGCAATAATTATGTCTGTTTACAAAATAAAAATAAAATTTAAATGATGAAAAATATAAAAAATAATCATGTATTAATAATCATAATAAGTTATAAAAAAAAGACTTGATTATTATATTTGAAATTTATTTACATATAATAAAAAGTTCGGTAAGCATTGTTTATTATCGTGTTGTATAAAATATTATTGAATTTCTAAATAAGAATTATCTGTATTTTTCTAGTTTGTTTTTTGTAATTAATTAAAATTTTGTTACAAACATCTTTACTTATTTTCAAATTATATTAATAATAATAATTATCTCGAAACTATTATTCAAAATGCATCGATAATGAGATTGAAATGATGAGAATAAATAGATAATCGATATTCGAAATTGTTTATTATATCGATATCAAGATAATAAATATAATTTTACTAGTTTTTTCATATATTAATGGAAATCAAAATTATTAGATTCATTATGTAACATATATAATCATTTTTAATAATCATAAAAATTTTTTAATTTGTTTTTCTTTCGTACAAGATCTTGATTACTTACCTCACGTAATATTCGTCATCTAAGAAAATGATTTAGTGTTTCAAGAATTGTACGCTTGTGGCACTGTTGATAATATTCGTGCAAAATTGAAAATTAGTGTTCTTACAATTGCATCTAATTGGTTGATTTAAGATATATAAGAAAATAAATGCTGATAATTATTACAAATCATTCTAAATAAATTTTCTAAATAAATTTATGAAAAAGAATAATATTATTGATAAATAATTAAATTATACATTATTTTTAAAACATTTGAAATAATCATTTTTAATGTTTAGATAAGGTTATTGAAGAAAATTTAAGATGAATTAACCGCGCATGCGCGAAAGATATAGCCTAAAATTTTAAACACGAAATTTAATTTTTTTATGAGAATTAAAATTTTACAAAAAAAAAATAAAAATTTTCAAATTAACATAATAATTTGTAATACATTGTTATATAATAAACTTTATATTATGCCAGATGAATAATTTTTACTAATATAATTGCGTATAATGAGGAAAGGGTAATGTATGATTAAATATATCAATAAAAATCAGTTTATTTTTTTGGTTAAATATTATATTTATGTATAAGTTTAACATAATAATGAAAATGTTCCTTTTTTATTTAATATACAATAGTAAAAATACTTACCATTTCAATCAAATCATTACTGTCTAAAAATTATTTAAAAATTAATTTGATTCGAAACATTTTAATTTTTATCATTATATAATTTTAATCTAAAAACTTATATATGTATTATTTACTTTATTTCATGTATCGATATATATATATATATATATCTTATTATTATTAATTAATTATTGAAGAATCATCAATCGCGATATAATATATGATTATTTAGAAAAATATATATACAAAATTTAGAAAAATATATATATAAAAGAAAAATATATATACAAAAAAAACATTTAAAATTTCCGTCTATATTTTGATCATATAACTATATGTATACCATCAGCTGATTGCGTCACGGTCTGGTTTTATAGTTCATTAAATTGCCGGTAATTTGTGATTGTGGGGATATTTTATGTAGTATAAATGAATGAACATTATCGTGCAATATTTTGAAGCCATCATATTAAAATTAATTAATTTATCACATTGATGATTGATCACATTGATTCTTTTTTTTTTATTAGAATAGAAAAATATTATACTAAAATTGCTAAAAAGAAAATCCACATATAAATTCTCTTCACGTATATAAAATTTTTTTTCGAATTCTCTTCACATATTACATATTATTGGTTCACCTTGAAATTTAAGTAAGTCTTTCAGACAACATAATTAGCAGTCTTTTTTTTCTAGTTTCTCTTGCGTTAAATTATGCAGAATAATGAATATATATTATGATCACGTGAAGAATTTACATCGATGATTAATCATGAATATACATTTGCATAAATATTCGTGTGATTGTTTAATCTATCATTAATTTTGCGTCTTATTGTTTTATATAATTAAAAAAAAAATAGCTATTTTTCATTCTCCTTAATCTATTTCTTCCTCTTTTTCTTATTTCTTTATACATACAGTTATACAACATGTTCTTTATACAGAACAAATTATTCAATATAATCATTAATATCATCTATATCAATAAATCTCAAATTTTGTACGCACTAAATAAAAAATAAAAATATAAATCTCACAAATCAAACAAATATATTTTCACGTTAAAAAATTAGAAAAAAACAAAGAAACTATAAAATTAGATATATATATAATACATATAATATATATAATATATTTTCCACAAATATCTTTTTCATCCTCGAAAAGGATTATATCATGTGAACAAAATTTTTTTCTCTCTTGGATATCGCATCGGTAAAAAAAAGATCAAATTTATTCCAGATTTTACTCTTTTTGCGATAAAAGTCAGAATTTAAAGTATTCCGATAAATGTGCTACGAGTCAGGCCATTCTTCAGATCGGCACGAACAGGATCGATCATAAACTTGACCCATCTCGATTCTTCAAAGTATCACAACTTCTTTCTCTTTTTTGATACCGAAAAAAAAAAGAAAAAGATCATTTTCGTTTCATTCCATTTCTTCTTCCTCAATAATTAATATTTATTTTCAAGAGAGAGTAGACAATTAAGGCAAACTTGTTCTACGAAAAAAGAAAAATCAAAATAAACTAATCGATTAATCTCCTTTCCAGATAAAGAAATCATCAATCTTTAAGAAGCCTGATATCACGGCTCATTCCCGAAAGATCGAAAATATCCCCGAGCACTATCGTTATTATCATCATCATCATCATCATCATCATCATCATCATCATCATCATCATCGTCGATTTAATCCCATTACGAAAAGAGACATGCCGGAGGAAGAGGAATTTTATTGTGGAAGTCGGAAGGAAGGGATATATGATCAGAGGAAGGTGATTCGAAGAGAGAAAGAGAGAGATAGATAGATAAATAGACAGAAAGAGATATACTACGTAAAGCGAGAGGGGAGGGGGGGGGGGAAGAGGCGACAAACAATAGACGCGTAACCCGGTGTTCCCGATGGGGTCATAGTTGCACGTATTTGCAATGTATCTGACGATGATAGGTCAGCACGGCAGGAAGAGATCGTCGTAGGGGGATCACCATAGCTAATCGTACCACCCAAGGTGGCACAGATTGAAAGCTCTATCAGCACACATCCTCTCTTGACCTGATCACTATATCTATCGACGTTCAACCGGTACGCGAGCACCTAACTACGCGCTCGTACAGTTTCATTAAAGTCATAGCTTTATACATAGCGTATACATTACTTCTCTCCGAGTGTTTACTCGCGAGCGCAAGCGCGCGCCTTTACTCCTTTCATCCAATGTGCGAGCGCGAGAGTCGAGTATCGAGAAAGAGAGAGAGAGTTGGGTCGAGAAGTGAAAGGTCCTATCTCCCATTACCTTTTTATATATTCGCAAGAAAAATTTTTCTCTTCGAAAGTATAAACTCTCTAAAAAAAATAAATAAATAAATAATAAATATTCTAATATTTAAATCGTACGATGGATAATGAATAATTCTTTGGCTCGTTTTTTTTTCGGGGGTATTATGTGTTAAATCAAGTGAAAAAAAAAGAAATAATTATGTTCCTATTATTTAAAGGATTTACGATACGATAAAGATGCGCGTAGTAATCTTATTTCTAATCTTCTTCTTTCCGTCCTTCTTCTTCGTTGCGGAGATCAAGAAGTTAGAAGCGAGCAAGAGATCAATATCGTCAATCAACTAATCGGATATTGTCGATCCCTTTCCAGCCTCTCGACCTCTCCCCGCCGCCTTCCCCTATCAGGGCGCGATACTACACAGCAGCCGCTTCCGGTTAACCGGAAGTGACGCTCTACGGTGACTACTACCGTATTTCGTCGGAATATTAATATTACCAAGCAAACGTAAACCATCATCACCGCTCCAGACAGGCATCATGGAAGTCGCCACCGAACTGTAAGTATTTAGTCCTAATTTTTTTCTCTAATTTTTTTTTCTCCGTGCTTTTTGCTTTTTTGCTTTTTTCCTTTTCACTTTTTAATATTAAGGTTAAATCTCTTTTTTTGATTGTAGAATACATTTTTTTTTTTTTTTTTATTCCATTATGCTTAATTTCAGGGAAAGGAAGTGGATCTGATTCTAAGTGACGAAAGTTATTTCGATTTTATTTCTAATTTCGAACGTGTTCTTATTGTAATTAACTGATCAATATTCCGCAGAATTTTACCAATTGCTGTTGTTGAATTCGTCGATCCGTCTGTTAAAAAATATATATGCAGAAGAGGCGGGCCCATCGAGACGACATTGACAAGCGGATGAAGTTTCTTCTTCAGTGTGATTCAGATTGCATCATCGGTTCGGCTAATGAATTCGCGTAAAAGGATATACTTGCGAAACAGAATAGCGCAGTTTACACGGATCGTGTCTCCGCGTTGAATCTCTTTTAAATCTCTTGAATTACGTTTATCCCGTTCAAAAAGTAAATGATCCTTTCGATTTTTTTTTTGTTGCTTTATCCATTTTTCTTTTCCAGTATTCTAAATGTTACCCTCGCCAAATAATACGTAATTGACGACAGGAATGAATTGGCAGCATGCATTCAGAATTTTGCACGGAGGACCCGACCAATTGCTCCACAAGCCCGTAATGCGAAAGTACAATTTGATAATTGCCGGGCCAGTTAAGATTAATTCCGGCCAACCTCCAGAAATGTTCCACGTTAGCCTCGATATTCGATAAAAAAAAAAACCAATCTTTATATCTCATCGTTTTAAAAATTATTATTAATTCGCCAAAAAAAGAAAGAAGTAATAAAAAATATTACTATTACTATTACTATTACTACTAGCAAAATTTTGTAACAGAATGATCAGGCTAGAAGGCATGAAGCCGAAAGGACGACGATGTATCTCCCGGCAAGGTCATCGACAATCGAGCAACAAGACTTTCAAGAATGATCAACAGCTCTCTTGCAGCAGGCCTACTTAACACGATGAGGTCGTTCGCAAAGATTCAATCAAATCAAAACGAAGATTACCGACCCTTGGCCCGAGTGATGGATCACGATAAATATATCGACGCTCTTTACCTTGTTTTCCAATTCGCGAAACAAACGGGAAGAATCTTCGGGTCGAGACGAGCCGAGCGAGTTTTCGCAGTTACTGTACACAAAGGAGATCGCGTGTCGCTATTTAATGTTGTCCACGTTGTTACGTTGTTTGAAAACTAAAGAGATCCTCGAATAGAAATTAATCTTCGAAAGATCATCATCTTTCGAGAGAGTGTAATAAAATCAAAGAGTTAAATATTTTTTTGGATTTTTTATAAACAAAATTTGACTGTTAAAAGAATAATAATGGAAAGAATTAAAAAGAAATGAATAAGTTTATTTACATTAATTGAAATTGTGTAGGAGATTTTTAATTTTTATTTCTCGTATTTCATTAAATATTTAAGTAATATGTAATTTCGTGTGTCAGACAAGTTGACTGATTATTTAATTCGATTAGAATCAAACGTTATTCGCGCATGGCTGAATTAAGACGGAGCGAAACGTGTGCGGGGATATAATAACACAGCAAGGAGAAATCATTGCCAATCATCATGCTTTCCTGTACACTCGCCATGCACGTACCTTTAAACGCTTGGCGCTTTACTAATCACGATTGGTAAATAACGTTTATTGTTTATTGAAAATGAAATATAAAAAGTTTCAAAGATTTAATTTCGACAAATTATGATATATTTTAGAGAAAGAGAAAAAAAAAGAAAAAATTTGAAGGATTTTTTTTCCATTTAAATTTTAAAGTTTATGAAATGAAATCTTATAGAATGGATTATTTCTTGATAACAAATAAAAAAAAAAGAAAAATCATTTATATCAATTTTATAAATATACGTGGTATGTTATATTGAATATTTATTTTCATAAACATAAGTTATTTATGATATATATATATATATATACATATATTTATTAATAGATAATATTAATCATTTATGCCCTTCAACCTTTCATATATCTGAAAACTTTATAAAAAGTTATGTTGCACAATTGTTGTTTCATACAGATTATTCATAGGATCTGTTAATACCAAGAATATTAAGTATCGATTAACTATTATAATCAATCTATTTTACATTTTAAATATGTAAATATCTCAAATTTAAGATTAAAGAGAACAATTTAAATAGTTCAAATGATTCAATTTATGCAACTATGTAACTTGACTTAAATAAGTGACTTAAATAATATTGTGTAACATAAGCAACTGGAAGAACTTGTGTTTATATAATGTTTAGCAACTTCTCAACTTACAATTAATTACTTAATCAATTGTGATATTGTTAAAAACATTTTCCAAAAAGCATCGTTATTACAATATTGTAACAATATCACACACAGGACAATTTAACATTTTCTGTATATATAAAATCTCAATCAATCAACAGCGCTCATGCTTCTTAATTTTATACTCAATTGAATACACATATAAAATTCATCTCTTCACTTTCACACAGTGTAGTCAATGCCGACACGTTTGCATATGGAAATTGATACATCTTGCGTGGAAAAGAATTGCAACTATACACGTACATATGCATTTAAAGAAACCCATAAATATATTATCACAAGTCAGAAAAGTATCATAAGTTAAGATGAAAATGTTTTCAAAATAAATATATACATCGCAAAAAGTGAAAAAGAGCCGGATATTTATATATATAATTACTATTATTTCTTTTTAAAAATACAATTCTGCTCTAAAAATGCAATTCTGTTCTATTTTTTTTTTTTTCTTTCTAACAACCGAGCCCAGCTGATTGTCATAAACTAGTCAAACTGATCAAATTATCAAACTCGTTAACACCGTTAAGGGATTAACTCTCGTAATTAACCCCTTGAAAAAGCGAATCATCTCTTTTCGGCTTCTCGTCTGAGAATTTTTTTTCCATTGATAATTTACTTGCATCGTGAGACCTCGTGTATCCAACATGTTATGCTAAATATCACGTATTCGCTTCATTTGCAATTCATCTTGTACATTTTATACATGATGTAATAGTAAAAAAATCTACATTTTCCGATCCTAGAAGAGCTAATCTTAGTTATTACCTTTATTCAATCTTCCTTGTATATGTGTAAATAATGAATACTTTTAAAATTAGAAAAATATTTTTTCTTTTAAAATTTTTTTTTCCAACTATATATATATATATGTGTGTGTGTGTGTATGTGTGTTATTTTTAGATCACCGTTGTCAGGATCGGACACACAATGCAAAATTACCGAACGAACCTCGTATTACCCCCAGGAGCCAAATAAAAGGCCGCAAACCAGGCAAGAGAAGGTTCGATCGTGTCTCAAGCACAATTCGTTGACGATATTGACTGTGACCGGTGTATTCGGCGGTGTGGTCCTCGGTATTATCTTGAGGAGCTTGCGAACTCAAGGATGGACGCCGCGCGAGATCATGTACATCAACTACATAGGAGATCTGTTTCTCAGAATGCTGAAGAGTTTGATTTTACCTCTTATCATATCCAGCCTGGTCTCAGCAATTGGATCCCTTGATCTGTCATTGAGCGGGAAAATTGGTGTTCGTGCTATAGTGTATTACATGGTCACCACGATTAGCGCTGTTGTACTAGGTTGGTCAAGATCGAGACATCTTTTCTTTCACTTATTTTCTAAAAGTAAAAGATAAAAAATAGATCATTTTTTGTTGATATATAACGATTTCAGGTATCATTTTGGTAATCACTATCCAGCCGGGTGTGGGAAATAATCCTGACATAAGGACAAAAGAACGATCTCAAAATGTCTCGACTATCGATACGTTGATGGACTTGATTCGGAATATGTTTCCCCCGAATTTAGTAGAGGCATGTATCTCTCAACATAAAACGGAAATGCAGAAACCGGAAAACAGTACATCAGGTCCAAAATCTTTTTTTAAAAAAATCTTATATACATAAGAAAAAAAAAAAAAAAAGAAAAAAAAAGAAAAGAAAAAAAAAGAAATATAATTTTCGTTGTGTAACGAAAATTATAGCGACATAATATCAATGTATCCTTCGTTGAAGCAGATAACATGGACGAGTGGAAGCCAGTGTCAAAAAGCGTGTCAGGAACCAATATAATGGGTCTCGTCGTTTTCGCCACGGTGCTTGGTATAACATTGGGAAAAATGGAAGAGCAAGGAAAACCGTTGCTCGTATTCTTCGAGTCCTTGTCTGGCGCTATGATGATGATCACTCATTGGGTGATTTGGTAAATTCACATTTGATGAAATTTATCTTATTAAAGGTATCCTAACCTCAAATCTTTCGCGCAATACGTAATTTTCGAATAATAGTCATCATCGATTTCAATAGAGAATAGAATTTTTTTACAATTCTTTATTCATTGATAATGAAATTTCACTGTTCAGGTTGTCGCCTATTGGTGTACTGTTTCTAGTAGCCGCTAAAATTACGGAAATGCAATCGTTGGACGAAATAGTTTCCCAACTGGGAATGTACTTTCTCACCGTGTTGATAGGCTTGTTGATACACGGCTTCATCGTTCTGCCTCTATTATATTTTCTAATAACGAAGAGAAATCCATATGTATACATATCCAATTTGGCCCAAGCGTTGGTCACAGCGTTTGGTACGTCCTCAAGCTCCGCTACTCTTCCAATTGCTATTAATTGTTTGGAAGAAGGAAACAATGTCGATCCACGAATTACCAGATTCGTTTTGCCGATCGGCGCCACTATCAATATGGATGGCACGGCTTTATACGAAGCTGTGGCCGCGATTTTCATCGCGCAAGTGCGTCAAGTCAGTCTTAGTTTCGGACAGCTGGTGGCAATCAGGTAATGGGAATTAGAAGAAGAGGCGAAGATTCATATTTTATTATGTTTGTTTAATTAGGAAGCATTGCATTTTATATTGAAGTCTTTGTTCAGTATCACAGCGACTGCGGCAAGTATCGGAGCAGCTGGAATTCCACAGGCAGGTCTGGTTACGATGGTAATGGTATTGGATACAGTTCGCCTACCGTCCGAAGACGTATTCCTTGTCATTGCTGTTGATTGGTTATTGTAAGCATTCCCTTTATTATATGCTCGCCTTTAAAAAAATATTTATCTATTAATCTATTTGTTTGGATCTTTGGATTCCCAGAGATCGTTGTAGAACAACAGTGAACGTAGTAGGTGATTCTCTCGGGGCAGGAATTGTGAATTATTTAAGCAGAAACGAACTTACTTCGTTGCCACATAATGCACAGACGCAAAACGGAGCAGATCATCATACCACGACATCCATATGAAACCGAAGTCGATATTATTATCGGCAAGATTTGTAAATGCTAACAAACAAACGAAGAACGATGAGCGTTCGCCCCCCCCCCCCCGATATTTTGCCCGGTAAATGTCGTACTCTCCCACCGAACTTTAAATTTGAAAGTCGAAGACGAAGTTCAGTACAAATATAATAATAAAATTCTTCGCAATCAACATGCATATAATAGCAAATAATAATATATCTATTATATTTTATTCTATTCTAGTAGTCAGTCTTCAAAAAGAGACTTTAATGATTCTTATACAATATTATTAGAAAGATTGAAGCAATATTTTTTTGTATTTAACTACGCTGCTGCCAGATTCGTTCAATTAGAGTACAAAAAATAATCAAATGACACGATCATGTTTCAATGGTCATTTTTCGTTGATTTTAATAATAAGTTACAAGATCCAATTGAAATGATACGAAAAAACACAAGAGTTGAAAGATTTGAAGATTTGATTTTGTTTAAGTTCAAACTTTAAACATGTAAAAAAAAAAAAAAAAAAAAATGTAAGTCAAAATGAATCGAGCCTTAAATTTATCCGATTGATTAATCATGTGCCATATATTTAATCTGTTAGAAACTATCCTTCCTAAGTTGAAGTTGTTAAATTGTTTAAAATATTTTATCATTTAAAACTCATTTTCTCAAAATAATTTCTTTTATGAAAAAGAATTTTTTTAATATGGCATAAAAGCTGTTTAAAAAAGTTGGCGATTTAATGATCTTACTGCCTAAGTGTTCTAATTTATTCTAAAGGTGTTCTTTTTTATCTTATTACTTCTGAACTTCTCGTTTACGGCGAAACATCATTCTCTTCTTGCGAAGCAATAAAATTGTTATGCAAATGTTTAATTCTAAAAGCATTTTTTTTAATTATAATAATATTTTTAAATATAATAATTCTCTTGCATATAACAAGAAAAAAGAGCGGTACTTTAAAGTAATGCAAAAAAAAGGATATAGAATGTAGTTGAGATACATCCCATTTTATATGATTATTTTAGGCATGTATTAACAATATTAAGTATTAACGATAGTTATACATATATATTAAACTACGGTTTACATTTTAATCTTTTTATCTTTCACTGCTACAATGTGATTATTAATTTCTAAATTTTTAGAAGTATACTTATAAAATATGTATATCTGTATGTGCAATTTCTTATAGATTAATATATCTGTAAAAAATTACAGAAAAATGCAGAAGAGAAGCTGTTTCAAAATAGCGTTATATATAGAGTAATAAGAATATTATGATATTCAATATATTACATTACATTAGACAGAAAAGTGTTCAATTATTAATTAGAAAGAGAAAAATATTTTATTACTCTTTAACAAGAAACGATCAAAAATGCATAATTATAGTCTTTTATACAGTTACATTTGTGCATGCAGTAAATATAACTGCATAGTCAATTTATATATGTAATTTATTTACTACTTTATACCTTTTATATGGGTGTAAATTTAATTAAATTTAAAAAAATGATTAAATGCTGAATTATTTTTTTTTTCATAATTCTAAATTTATTTTATTATTATTTAATTATAAATTTATAAATTATTTTAAAAAACCTAAAAACTATCAATGCTAATATTTTTAGTTGTAAAAGAATTTTTATTAAAAAAAAAAGTATAATAATATAATAAAAATTCCGGAAAAATTGAATTACTCTTTAGTACCATTAATTAGAAAAGAAGAGAAATTACAATATATGTTTAATATTAAGGCATGATTTAAACTAATAATCATATTATCATAATTAATCTCGTAAATTGATGTACAGTTACATCTTGTAATCAAATTCTATTAGTAGAATTTATATACCTGTACCTAATTAAATAATTGCCATAGTTGCTTAAAAATATATTGTATATTTATTTGTACAATAAATGTATAAACTAATATAATAATAAAGTTATTGTTTATTTTTAAACAAATTCATATAAAAATCACCATCAAGAGGATTTCATATTTTTTTCTTATTTTTAACTTACAAAAAACGAAAAATTTTAATTTTTTTTACTTAGATTAATTCAGAATATGAAAAAATTCATTAAAATAAATACTGAAAATTATTTATTTTAATTATAATATATATATATATATATAATAAATATATATATTTATTATTATATATATTTTATATATATATATATATATATAACATTTTTTCATCAGTTATATTTCGTTTTGCGAATACGATGAATAATATTAAATGGCAGTTGCAAAAAAAATAAATGTGTATTTAGGATCTTAAAAATCTAAAATGTGTATTAAAAACAATTTTTAAAATATATTAAATGTATATAAGAAAACAATAATATTACAGAGATTTCTATCATATTTTATATATACTTTATGGTCACCTATTTCTATTGTCTCGATTACAAATGAATAAGCAAAATTGTCAATTTTATTACAAAATGAAATATTATTTGCATTAAAAAAAGAAAATACATAAAAAAACAAAGGATATTTTTGTTGCATATTTAAAACTATGATACTTAATAGCACAATATGACTAGATAAAATGCACATTGTTATATTATTTCAAAGTAATAGCACATAAAAATACAAAAAAAAATAAAAATTTAATCTGTAATTCAATAATTCAATAAATTTGCTATTTTTTTCTTGTATATAATTATATACTTACATATATATATATATATATATATATGTATAAATATATTAATATATATTAAATATATATTAAATATATATATTAAATATATATATTTAATATATTAATAATTATCATTAAATTTTCTATATAAACATAAATATTTTTTCATCAAATTAAAGTCATGTTGTACTAAGTTTATTTATTTTAAGTTTATTTTATCCATTGTTTTAAAAATAAAAATGAATCATTATTCAATGCAATGATTAATGATTATGGACGTCTGAATCAATTTCTATTAAAAGTAAAAAGCACATTCAATGGCATTAAATATATAAAATTTTTATAATTCATGTTGTAGGTGATTCCATAAAATGAAGCATCATTTTGTGATACGATTTTAAAACTGTCATCCTTTCTCAGTTATTTAAAAAGAAAAGTATGATAGTAGATAAAATCGTAAGTACATTTATAAAGTCTTAAAATCTTAAACAGGCATTGTTATGTACATAATATAAATAATTCGCTATAGTATTTACAAAATTAAATTAGTTCACAAGATTTCGCGTTAATACTAAACATCTATAAATCACAATTGTCATCAAATCGACAGTGTGTAAAATATTTTTCGTACCACGTAATAAATTGTGCTCAATTGTGTGAAAATTTCAATATAGAGAACAACTTCCGATTCATCTTCTTTTATTTTCTTTTCTTTAAATAACTATTTAATTTAAGGAAATTCCTTGTATCCATGAACTAAGATCACTTGTATCTTCACAACTAAGACTCAATGAATTCTTTTCATTTTTTCTTGATTCCAAAAGTGCTTGAGCAGCAGTTCGACCAGTTAGATATGCTCCATGTACTGTACTGTAAAAGGAAGAGTGCGTATGTTCACCAGCAAATGTTATTATAATTTTTGAAGGATCATCTTCTTGCACTATAGGCTCAGATAAATATTTAATATCTAATTGACTTGCACCAACAGCCATAGCAGTGTAGGAGCCACGTGTATATGGTTGTGAATGCCATGAAGTGCGTAAACAATTTTTTGGTGCTGGTACAAATGGATCATTAAGAAATTTCCTCAATATTGATGTGCATATCTCTGCCACTTCTGCTCCACTTAATTTTTCCATATATTCAGCAGCTTTTCCTGATATCCAACCCAGCAAAAGAGTTTCTGAAATTTTTGTAAATGAATAGATTTTTCTGAACCATGTTTTACTGATATCTTGCTTTTCTTCTTCTGACAATCCTCGGTCATCCCATAAAAGCATTACTTCTGATACACCAGGATTTAAAAATGGCCTTTCATATTCTAAAAATATTTTATCTACAGTACCAAATAGAAGTCTATTTATAGCTTCAAATTTATAATTTGGTAAGGGTGGTTCAAATATATCATTAGCTTTTTCCTTAAGTACTCCTAATGGCAATGTACAAATCACATGTTCAGCTAATATTATTTTCCCATTTTCACACTGTATTTCAATAGATGGATTTGTATTAGAGCAGTTATTAAAATTTTCATTGTCCATACATTTCTTTTTTTGCCACCTATAATTAATACATTTGTGTGAGAATGCACAACACAAATTTAATATTGATAAGAAACCAATTTCAAGCTCTGTTTACCTAATTTTAGTGACAACATGTTTAGTCAAAATGCTGCTTTTTGGTATATGCTTTGAAACTGGTTCTAATATAGCACTATATCCATCTGGAAGACTAATATTTCCACCTTGAAGTTCTGCATACGAACCCATTTCCAACAAATCAACATTTTCCATGCTATCACAGCCAGTAATACAGGTTTCTCTTTTAAGTAAGCAATCAAACAATAATTGCCTAATTTTTCTTTCTTCAGGTAATAAGGTGGATAAATATATCTCAGCTTCTAATGCTACGTGTGCTCCAACACTATTTATTCCATCTGGGGGACTATAAGTACTTAAAAAATATTCCTCACATCTTCTTAAAAAACACACATAAGCTTCATAAATTTCTTGCAAAATTGGAAAAGGTAATTGTTTTCCATCTTCCATAGCAGCTACAACTTTATGAGGCCTTGGTACGCGTATAATATCTATTAATCCATTTGCCATAGCTAATTCAAACATTGGGTTCCCTAGGACTCCATGGATCCAATTTGCTCCTAATTCTACCTTTTCATTGCCTGTATTAAAGTGGATGTGAATTTAAAATTCAAAATTGTTTAAGTATAATTATTCCCATAATTAAAACTCAAGAAATTATATTTTTATATTCAATATAATTTTATATTTGATTTTCCATAATAAAATTAAAATTCTAACTAAAAAATAAACAATTAATTCAAAGACATTTTATTATATTTTATATCTAAAATCTTTTTGAGCATTTATTAAAAATTAATTTAAATAAAATAAAAGTAATCTTTAATTAAATCTATATTTTTATGTTCTGTCATTATAATAATGATTGAATATTACAAATACAAATAAAAAGTCAACACTTCTATTATATATTATATGTGTGATAATGTATTTAAAAAGATAAATAGATTCGTTAAAATTAAAAATTAAAATGAAGAATCGAACTTTTATTGATTAATAAAATTCTGAAATAGGTTAAGTAAAAACTCACCGATTTTGGTAGCAACTATACGACCACCTATTCGACCTCGTGCTTCAACAATCAAAAAATCAGTTTCGTGATTTTTTAATAAATGATTTGCAGCTGATAGTCCAGCCATTCCAGCTCCAACAATTAAAATTTTACACTTAACTTTATCATCCTCCGTCTTCTTCGTAGATTCCGCCATGATCATATCATATTAATTGTCAACAGCAAAACTAGCATAGTTTATTAATTTTAATATAGAAAAAAACGATTAAAATCGTTTTTCTCATTCAATTATCATATTTACTAATATTATCATTCGAAACATTCTATAAAGTTGTTTGACATTTTCATTTTTAACGCACATTAGAGAATATGATAACAAAATGGTATTATAGTTATTTTTGTTTTTTTACTATTTGATTCTTTACGCGCTACAATTTAAGAAATATACATATAATTTATGAAATACATATATACAATATTATATAAAAATAGAAATATATATTATACATATTTTAAATATATTTCTTTCGAACAAAAATATGATCAAAAATAAAAACAAAAATTATCCACACAATTTTTTTATTTATTTACACATTTTTCTATCGAATTACAAATTTTAGTTAATTTGCATTAACGAATTAAATATTTTAAATATAATGTATACAATTCCTTACAGTCAAGTAAATTTATGTAATTGCCTTGATTCTATGGCTTATTATATTAAACATTTTTTTAGAAAAATCTTGCAATGCAAGCAATAAAAAATAAAATTCTATAATTATATATATTAATAAAATATGTGGATTTTTTTTCCAATTTTTTAATAACAAATATAAACATTTATATATTTATTATCATATTGATTACAACAATAAAGAAAGTTAGGTTTTCACTGTTTTCTAATTGAAATTGAACATTTTTACTATAAATTTTTGGTATTTCAATAAAATTTAGACATATAAGTACCTACCACTCATCTGGCAAAGCATCAAATATTAAAATACTATCTAATTTATTAAAATGTTATAAAATAGAGCAAAAAATTAAACTATTAAAATGTTGTATTCTAAAACAAGAAAAATTTTTTATCCATAATAATCAAATTAGTAATTATTTTGAAAAAGAAAATTTATAGAATTATAATAAAATAGTACTTAACTTTTATACATATTTACAGATCATTATCAGCAATTACTATTATAAATATTCATGATAAATATTTTTATATTTAAATTTTTCTTATTCAAATATTAT